CCAAATCCCAAATACTAGTAATTTGGGATTTTGGCGTCCCAAATCCCAAATGATTTGGGATTTGGGCAACACATATAGATTATGTGTTTGGTAACTTTTTTTTGTATGGTCAACATTTGCATCTGAACGTAAAGGTTTTTTAGCTATGTCACAATTGCATGTTTCTTGTAATAGGTCTATAAAACGGTATAAACATTTTTGACAATTGAAACAAATGCCAATTTGATATAATGAAGACATGTGAAATAAAAAAGAACACGAAACTCACAAAACGCGATGCGCATATTGAAACTATAATTTTTTTTATAATAAAATTTAATTATTTTATTGGTTAATATTTATCACATGAGGATCATGTGTTCCTGATTTCGGTTTTCGAAAAATAAATTTTTATTTTGCCAATTGTTGACCGGACCATTTCGAAAATAGCGATAATTTTTTTTGATATTATAAAATTTTAACACTAAATATAGAGTTTATAATTATGATTTTTTTATCATCTCAATTTTTATATGTTACAAATGATAGCCATTAAGGTTCATAAAATTAACTGAAATTCATAAGATAAATTGGTTGAAGAATAATTAGTAGTTTTACAATCCAGGAGGAAATTTCGGCTGTATGCTCATCAGAAATCATAGTTGAAAAGGTTCCTTTGTACGAGCAGGCAATTCGTGACTAAAATAGATCTTGCAGATAAAATAATGATTTGGTTGGTCGGTCGGTCAGGAGATATAAAATATTGTTTTAAATCTTTCCAAAGTCGTTAGTCAAGAATTTTCTTGTAAGGTTCTAATTTATCCAAAAAATATCTAATACAGTGAACCCTCTATAAATGCACCCTCTATAAGGTACACCCCTCTATAAATGCACCCTATACTCCAGTCTCATCTACTAATAACACTTATAAAATTTCCCTCTATAATTGCACCCTAATGCTGATTTCCCGGGGTGCATTTATAGAGGGTTCACTGTATATGATAAGCATTGTTGTAGAGTAGTTTTCAAAGTTAAAAATTTCCTGATTTCATTCTTCGAGAGTAGAATTCCCCACTTGATGGTATATTACCAGGTTTTAGTTTCTTCTATTTGTAAATCATCTCTTTTGAGAAAGCAGATTCTAGAAGAGATGTGAAATCTGAACTATTAAAAATAAGATTTGGGTACTTTATTATAATGTCATTACAAAAATTTTCTAAATCTTTAAAGTTTTGTTTGTTAAAAATATTATGGTATACTAAAGAAAAATGTGCTCTAAACCAAGAAGCTTTGGTTTCGATAAGATGAATTTCTAATTTTTTGGAGTTCAAATTCATTAGCTGCCAACATTAAGTCAAAAATAATTCTAGTTTCAACATTCTCTAAGTCAACGATACCACCATAAATATATCTATAAATACATAAATAAAGTAACTAAACTTACTTGAGAATAATATCAAAAATTTCATTAGAAATTTTGATAATTGTTTTGATGCTGTTCTCATGTTTCTAATTCTTTACGAAAACAAGGTGCTCGATATTTCAAAGCGTTAGAGTGAGCAGTAAAAGCTTTCTCGTTGTAGTCATCTTTATTGTTAAGGAGTTCAGTAAAATTTTGAGACAATTTAAAAATTTCAATGTCGTTTTTTCTGTGATTTTGATTCGTGTTTCTGTAAATTTGGTTCGTGTTTTTGATGATTTTTAAAAAAAATGAATATAAAATAATTAATTATACTTACGGAAATAATTCTTCAAGGAGTCTTTTTCGAAAAAATTTCATTCCTGGGTTTTAGATTATTGGATTTTTAATAATTTTTTAGCATTTTCAAAAAATTTCCTCAAGCATCCTAACGTGCATACTTATTCTTGTAATTTTTATTCCCAATTAATTATTTAAAAATAATTCTTTAAGATTTTTCACTAGACATTAATCCAAAAATCAAATATTATTGTAATTGAATTGAATCAATTTTTTACTTATTATTCTTTTTTTTTAAAAAAAAAATTTATGATTAATATCTATGATATGTTTAAATCAATCGTATCGAAAATCAATTCTTAATTGCTCAGAAGCAATTTTTGTTTATATATAGTGTGTAGGGTAAATAAATTTCTAAAATTTCTAAATAAATTAATATTTGACTTCAAGTTTTAAAAGGTAACAATCTGGAATTGTCCACTATTAAAATATTCAAAACGCGACAAAAAAAATCGATGATTCAACAAGTCATGTAGTAATTGCCTTACTCAATTTTGTATTCTTTTAATTCATCTCATTGTTATTCAATCTATTCGAAGGGTTACTTATATTACATTACAAGTAAATAAAATTTAAAAGAAATTTTGTACATTTTTTACGATTTTAAAGAGAAATATACAGTAAAACATTTGTAAATATATGAATAAAAAACTTGTAATTAATTATTTATTAAATAATATAATTAACTATCATTAGTTTCGGAATAATCAAATTTTTTAAATTAAAATAGGATTATAGCCACCAAGAATTTCAGACTTTAACAATAACAACAATATTTGTTTTCTAATCACATAAACCTAACAAATCCGAAATGTTTCAGATAAAAATCCATCTCTGCTTCCACGAAGAATAAGCTTGAATTCATATGAGTTTGTATTACCTCCTCCATACGCTTGCCACGTTCTTATAAATCCCAAGAGGAAATTTCAGCTGCATGTTCTTCGGTAATAATTGACGATGAAGTAGTTCCATAATTGATATCAATCATCAATTTTTTTATTGAATTTATTTTTTCACCCAAGTTGACTTTGCTGTCGTGCTTCTCTTCTCAACGTTAAATGACATTCGTTTCCCGTTGAGTTACATAATCCCAAATTTTAGATTCTTCAAGTTGTAAATCATTCCTTTGAATAATAGTAAAATTAGGGTGTTTTGAAATTGAAATTCTTTAAAATCAGTTTGAGAATAAATTAATCCAAATTTTTAATCTTAATCAAGAAGAATGGTTTTCTATAAGTTTCAAAAGATCAAAAATAAGTATATATTTCAAGATTAACCATAAAGCTTCATAAAAAAAATAAATATATATTTAAAAACATTAAAACCATTTATAAAATTTATTAACAATCAAATCTGGCACTCACTTTATAATTCTTTGGCAGATATTTGTGGTTTCGGAATACTACTAATATTATAATAGTTTTTGTTAAATTTTTTTTTAAAAAAAAAAATTCTTTCGTAGAAATAAAGACATCGTCAAACAAGACTGTTGAATGAACTTTAAAAGTTTGTTTAATATGACATTACGCTCATCTCCAGTTCCTAAATTATGCCATTTGAAGAAAAAAGGGCGAAAATGATTGTTATAATTATATGCATACGTTTAATAAGAATTGATTTATATAATATCATGATATTACAATTTATTCATTCGAAAAATACTGTATTATAAGTATTATCCCATGCTAAAGTATTATAACTTCCAATAATTTCATCAGTTCCCTTAACTTTCGTCACAACGGCAGATGTTTGCGGAGCAAAACCATTTCCAGTCAAATTTATAGGATTTTACGGTCGATCCAACTTAAGATCTGCTGTATGATCTTCAGAAATGATATGTTTCATAAATTTCAATATAAAGTAACGGATATGCGGTAGACCTTAATCACATTTTTTATAATACTGATAATAACATCCATATACCGAATCATTTATTATGTGTTTTATCTTTTATCACCGGTTTAAAGTCAAAACGCTCGTATTTATCATTACGTAGAACCGTAACGTAAATATATCCCTGATGTTTATCACTATGGTAAAAGATTTGAGTATCGAATCCATAGTGTTACGATTAATTATTATAAGTATTTTGACATTATAAATTCTTTATCATGTAATTTTGATTATGATAGATCGTAATGTTAAATGATGTTAATTGTTAAATATAATATCTAGTAACCAAATATTTTTCAATATATTATTAATATATAAACTTTTAGTTATTAATCGCATCACGTGTGATAAATATTGTTCTTATTATTTTTAAATGTAAAAATTAGGAATTGAAACGTGTACAGTTCGTTAGAAATGTTAAAATAATCATTAACGGTAATTCTTTGAATTTAAAGAATATAAATTAAGGAAATTTTCTAGTATAACGTATTTTAAGAAAATAAATTATTGATAGTATATTTCGATAATATAATTTTTAATCATGGCATTTAGAGAGAGGATTATGTGTTCACTTAGTTATGCTAAAATGATTATCAACAAAATTATTGTTAATTGATTGGTGCAAAAATTTTTTAATCCCTGAATAAAGAAATAAATTCAAAAATTTATATATAAATACCCTACCTTGATATATAATTTTATGAATGTACTGAATATGATAGAAACGTTAAAAGTCTTAATTTCCAATATTCCGACGTTTGTTTCCACTATCTTTAATCATTTTGTAAAAGGACCTCCACAACCATCCTGGAATATTCAATTCCATTTAGAATTCGTCACCTTAAAAGTCTGTTTTGGCGATATTGCCCAAAGAACTATTGAATATAGTCAAAAAGTCACTTCTAAAGGTCACCCCTTGCCTAAAGAATTTAAAGAAGATGAAATAGTAATTCCAAATAAATTTAGGGAAAATGCTCAATCGTATCTTGAACAAGTTATCAAAGAGTACGAATATGTAATAGATGATGAATGGAAACAATTTGAAGATGATGATAAAGTATTAAGTGCCAAATGGATTTATTCCAAAAAACAAGGATTTAAGCGTAGCCAAGAAAATTTAAGAGTAATACTATATTTACATGGAGGTGGCTATTGCGTTTGTAGTGCAGATTTTTATCGACCAATCACTACTAAATTAGTTAAAGAATCTGATGCATTATTACTAGGCAAGTATTAATCTAATCATCAATGCGTGCATCATTGCATCATTGCATCATTGCATCATTGTCACAGAATTATTAAATCTTTACACCACCCTTCCCCTACATTTTTTAGTAATAAATTATAGATTAGCACCTCAAAATCAATTTCCAGCTGGACTACATGACGCGATAGCTGCCTATTTTTATCTTACCAATCCTCCGGAAGATGCCAGTTTTGAGCCAATTGATCCTAAAAGAATTGTTATTATGGGTGATAGTGCTGGTGGTGGATTAACTTTAGCCACCCTATTGGCACTTAGAGATTCCGGATTACCGATGGTGGCTGGAGCGGTTTGTTTGGTAAATGATTTTTTATTTCATTTTATTTTATTTATTTTGACTTAAAATTACTTAATTCATACATTTTCTTCCTATCGAAAGTCTCCATATATAGACTTAACTGGTAGCATGCCTTCAAAATCGGACCCTCGTTGTGATCTCACTGATTACATCCCAACGCGTTTAAATCCTTCACCTTCACCTGCTTTTACCGAATACCAGAAAAATGCTGAAAAATTATCGAACCATATAAAAGCAGAAACCCGATCTCCATTTTGGGATGAATCATTTAATCGCAATAAACGAATACAAATTTATGCACCCAATGAAGCATTGGGAATACCGTATGTGAGTCCATTATGTGCAGAAAGTTTAGCAGGATTACCTCCTATGTTGATCGTAAGTGTTTTGAGTTTTTTTTTTTTCAACGAAAGTGAAAATAAAAGATATAAAACAATATTGCATTTTCAAGTTTTTTTATGTTCTTAGTTCTTTATTATGCGATTAATATGTTATTCACCTGAATCTTTAATAGCAAGCTGGAGATGGCGATAGACTTCGTGATGAAGCAATTTATTTTTCATTCAAAGCAAGTCAACCTGATAAATACAAATTACCCGTCTATAATGCAGGAAAATTTGAACGATCACCTTTTAAAACGCCAACTAATGTTACATTGGAAGTTTACGAAGATATGCCTCACGTGTTTCAAGTACGTTAAACTATAAAGTATGGATCAGATATACAATATAAATTATATAAATAATGTATATTTAATTTTACTTTTATTATGTACATCTAAAAAGTTCTTCAAATATTCCGAACCCGCGCCAATATCGTTTCAACGTGCTGGCGAATTCACTAAAAAACTTATAGCCCACGTTACATCCTCTTCCTCTTCCTCCTCTTCCTCTTATTCTTCTAATGATCTATTACCTTCACTAGATTTTACCAAAAGTACATATTCATTTATAACAGTTAAAGGTAAAACATTACCACTTAATGATGAACACATGAAAATATTAGAGTGGACGGAAGTAGGTAAATTACCACTAGTGGGAGGATCTCCTGCTGACAAATTGTAGCTAATGTGTAAGTATTTTTTTTTAATTATTGGTTCTCTTTTTTTCTTTCTCTCCACTTCTCTATTCGTATTTGTTATTTTAAGATAAATTTTTATGTTTTTTTTTTCTAGAAAAATACATTCATTTAATGATTGTAGCAATATTTTTGTATCTCAAATAATTTGGCTGATTAAAGTTAAAACCAATATTAAAAATGCAACATATAATGTCAATATTCTAGAAAACTTTAGTAAACAAACTTTTGTTTGCATCAATATATTAAGGTATTCTATAATAATTATCTCCCAGAATTGAATTAAATTACAAGTAAACAACAAGATCGTACAGTACATTTATCTTTTAATTAATTATTTTAAATTATTATTCTCTCCATTCTCTTTGTTGTACTCTTTCTCTAAAAAGTTAAAAAGTTATCTTATTATTTTTATCAAAAATGATAAAATTTAAACCATTGAATATATAGTATACAATAAAAGAAGTAAAAAGAAAAAGATGTATAAAACGCCATATTTATCAAGGAACAAAAAAAAAATACTTAAAAGAAACAAAAATGAGATCATTCGCGTTTTAATCCGCACCAAATACAATAGCTTACTGTACATACTCGGCAAAAAATTTTAGTTATACGTAATAGTAATATTGTAATATGAAATATTTGATTGTAGGTTCAATCTTTCTTTTTTCGTGGACATCAAATTCATTGATGACGAATATATATATATTATTTATATTTTTACCAAATAAAATTAAAATAATTTATTAGGCATATTTTTTATTACATTTGCTGTGGACGGAAATTATATATAAAAATGTCTTAGGGTTAAATGCCGTAAAAGGTTTAAGTATGAAACCTGAAACCATTCGAAAGAAAAAATTGGCCAAATTTAAGAGCATTGTAATCGAAACTTGGTGCTCCAATAACTGATACCGATATATTCTATATAATGGTCTTAAGACGAATTTAAATTCTATCGATCATTTTGAACATACTTGACGTGATCCTGAGGAGAATATGATTATTCCAGATGATTCTGTACTTGTAAAAAATTTAGGACAAAGACTTTTTTAGAACCACGTGAAAATATGAAGTGTACTCTATTGATCTTAATTACTTCAAGATGTGTTGAACTCTTAAATGTTTTTAAGAGTTGATATTACAAATACAGCACTTAGGAATATTGTTCATAATAGAGAATGGAAAGAGGAAGTACCAAAACTATTTGCACTGGTCAAAAAACTATATTTCAGGACACCCGATATGGTTGTAATATAAAATCTTAAATAATTCGTATTCGTAGCTACATATAAATTTTTTTTTTTAATTTATAATTAAATCATTAAAACGTTACTAAGTAATCTTGTAGATAATTAAAATTTATATCGTCTGAAAAAATATTACTCCCATTTAATTTAAATTAAGAGAAGTTCAAACTCTGGTCGCTAATAATTCTCTCAATTAAAATGAAATAGGTCTAATATATTTATAAACTATGCAGATTTTATTATCAACAAGTCTACTTTGCAACATATAATCTATCGGGTACCAAAAGAATTCACTATAATATAAAATCGAAATTAATTTGTGATCATAGCCACATAAAAGTTTTTAATTATATAATTATATAATTTAATCGTCAAAACGATACTAAGTAATTAGATAGGACTGAAATTTTAAAAGAAGGTATACTTTTTATTATCTTATGTTTACTTAGTGGCATTTTGACAATTTAAATAATTTTTTCTTTAACCATTGACGATTTAAATAATAAGTTAAAAACTTTTATATGTATGTGACTGCGTATTTTCGATTTTATAATCTATCAGAATTTACTATACGTTTAGCTCATTTCGCACCTACCTGATAGGTGTGCGAAATATGGTTTTTCGATCTGTGTTTGATCTATTATCATTATTATTTTTTGTAATGTAACTTAATACTAACATGCTTTTTTTTTATACAACGGGTCTGCAACTAGTTTTTATAATTGATTGATCAAACTTTTTCAGGCAGGTCATATCCATCATTATGTCATAATTTATATATAATTAATTGGTAGGTAAAAATATGGTCTTTTAACGCGCGTTTTAAATTTTCTCAGACTAATCCCAAAATAATTCTGAATAAAAACTTCAAAGATTTAACTCCCTCCTTAAAATTTTCTATAACTTCTTTAATATATATAGTTTTTATTCATTTTTTTAATTTTAAATTAAAAATATGAATGTGCTGAATGTGACAGAAACGTTAAAACTCGTAATTTCCAATATTCCGACGTTTGTTTCCACTATTTTCAATCATTTTGTAAAAGGACCTCCACAACCATCCTGGAATATTCAATTCCATTTAGAATTTGTCACCTTAAGAGTCTATTTCGGCGATCTTATCTTAAGAACTATTGAATATACTCAAAAAGTCACTTCTAAAGGTCACGCCTTGCCTAAAGAATTTAAAGAAGATGAAATAGTAATTCCAAACAAATTTAGGGAAAATGCTCAATCGTATCTTGAACAAGTTATCAAAGAGTATGAATATGTAATAGATGATGAATGGAAAAAATTTGAAGATGATGATAAAGTATTAAGTGCCAAATGGATTTATTCCAAAAAACAAGGATTTAAGTGTAGCCAAGAAAATTTAAGAGTAATACTATATTTACATGGAGGTGGCTATTGCGTTTGTAGTGCAGATTTTTATCGACCAATCACTACTAAATTAGTTAAAGAATCTGATGCATTATTATTAGGCAAGTGTTAATCTAATCATCAATGCATCATTACATCATTGTCACAGAATTATTAAATCTTTACACTACCCTTCCCCTACATTTTTTAGTAATAAATTATAGATTAGCACCTCAAAATCAATTTCCAGCTGGACTACATGACGCGATAGCTGCCTATTTTTATCTTACCAATCCTCCGGAAGATGCCAGTTTTGAGCCAATTGATCCTAAAAGAATTGTTATTATGGGTGATAGTGCTGGTGGTGGATTAACTTTAGCCACCCTATTGACACTTAGAGATTCCAGATTACCGATGGTGGCTGGAGCTGTTTGTTTGGTAAATGATTTTATTTCATTTATTTTATTCATTCTTGACTTAAAATTACTTAATTCATACATTTTCTTCCCTATCGCAAGTCTCCATGTGTAGACTTAACTGGTAGCATGCCTTCAATTTTGGACCCTCGCTATGATATCACTTCTTATGTCCCAAATTCTGGTTTAAATCCATCACCTTCACTTGCTTTTAATGAATACCAGAGAAATTCTAAAAAATTATCGGACCATATAAAAGCAGAAACCCGATCTCCATTTTGGGATGAATCATTTAATCGCAATAAACGAATACAAATGTATGCACCCAATGAAGCATTGGGAATACCGTATGTGAGTCCATTATGTGCAGAAAGTTTAGCAGGATTACCTCCTAT